GGCAGACCTATTGTTTCTATTAAGTTTGTATCTTGTGAGTATATGTCACTAAGCAGAAATGAGAAGTTTGATTGTTTTTAAATTATGTGTGTGGTTTTTTTTGGCATGATGAAGTGCTGTGTGTATCAAATAAGAATATAGACTTGCAGAATGTGAAAGGTAGGAGGGAGCCTCAAAGGCATCTAGTTCAAGAGGACACACTTTGAAGTCAGTCCTGATTTGGAGTGACTTATTTACTTACTGGGTGTGTAATCTTGTGACACTTACTTAACCTCCCTGAGCTGCAGCTTCTTCATCTCTGTAAAATTGAGACGTACATGTATTTTCTGCGATAACAACTGTGTTTCACGCTACACACACACACACACATCTTTACTCTCTGCCTCCTGCCTGATCCTTTCACGATACACACACACACACACACACACACACATCTTTACTCTCTGCCTCCTGCCCTGATCCTTTCCACACGATACACACACACACACACACACACACACATCTTTACTCTCTGCCTCACCTGATCCCGCACCATCACACACACACACACACACACACACATCTTTACTCTCTGCCTCCTGCCTGATCCCCGCACCATCTGGCGCGGATATCCAGAGCAGGGACTGTGTGGGAGCCTCAGCGGGACTGTCTGAGCCTGCAGGGCCAGCTGCTGGGGACTGCTTCCTCCCACTCTTCAGGGATCGTTTCTCTGGCTCTGTTGGGACTATTTCGTGGTTGGCTGTTCGGATCTCATGACCTTTCATGAGCATAACATTTAGTCTGTGGGGGTCAGTCACTGTTGGTCAAGTATAGTGAAGCTGTTAATGAGACTAGAGATGAAGACGGCTTTTTGCTGCCATATGATGGAGGCTTTTGGGTACCCTCTGTTGGTACCCTCTGTTTGAACCCCAGAAAATATGTGTACAGGACACTGATGGCTGCTTCTCTTTCCAGCTGGCTTCCTCTCCATTGCTACTTTGTGTTGAGTTGGGACACTAGGAGGCCACTATCTATATCTTAGTTTGGGGGAAGGAGAGAAAAATTACAGACCTCTTGAGTTTCTTTTTATGATAGTAGGAACAGTGGATTTTCTCCTATCCCACCCTTGTCTCTTTGATCCTCCAGCATAGGGCTATAAAATTATTAGGCCACTCAGCAATCCTGTTGCACATTCTTTGTGTACAAGGAAGAAAGTTCATGGGTTGCTTCTTAGCAGCTGTAAAGTAAATGCCTGAGGTCTTGGCCTTAGCTATGGTGTTTCAGCATCCTTCCTACTCATTGGCAGGCCTGGCTTTAGTACTATCCTCAGCCTTAATTATGAGAATTCTGCTTGCTTCACTGTCTCTCTCAACTGATCTTAATGTTTCATTGGAAATATTTATTAATCCGGCTGCCATTTTTTTGAATTTTCCTCTGTTCACTGGAATTGGTGTCAGCTTCTCATAATGAGAAGTATCGGTAGCTTTATTGATTTTTTTTAGGTGATGATCTTGAAACATTACACCTGTGGGATGAGTTTTCTAACTGAAGTCTGTGCTCCTCCACTAGAGAGGGTAGGAACCATGTTTTTCAGCTTAGCATAGCCGTATCTCTCATTTATTACACACCTACTGTGTGTCAGAGATGTTGCTCTATTATTTCAGTGGATTCCCACAAAAATAAGGTACACATATATAACAAACCTGCACATTCTGCACTTGTATCCCAGAACTTAAAGTATAATAATAAAAAAAATTTTAAAAGGTCATTAAACTAAGAAAAAAAAAAAGGTACACATAAGGAATCTTATTTCAGAAGAGCTTAAGTAAATTGCCCAAGGTCATCTCGCTAGTGAGTCACACAACTTGCTTTTGAATTCAGTTTGACTTCAGAGCCTCTTTTCTAAATCACCTTTCCAAACTCCTTCTTGCAGAAAAAGACAGATGTACATAAGAGGACTGGGATCTTGGCCTCTAAAATGTTCGATGGTTCTCTTAAGTAGGAGACAGTTATGGAGCTGCATTCTTAAGAAGATAGAAAGTTTGCATGTCTTCAAAGCCCTTGTTGTTCCCACTGAACTACATTGACTTGCATCACTGGCATACATGGGCACTTACATAAGTTTGTTGAGAGCTGGACCCTACCACCCCAGAGGCAGAAGTCATCTGATGGAAGGCTTTGGCCCATTTGTGGGTCTTCACTTCATGCTTTTTACTTAGAACAGAGAGGCTGAGATTATGTGAATTTGTCTCTCACTGATAAGGCCATGGGTTGAGGCCATCAGACAAACTCTGAGAACTGGAATGAATCCATGGTGATAAGATATTCGGAGGGGCCAGGAGTGTGTTGAAGTCAGTCTTGGCTTGCTACAGTTAGGAGATGCTGTGCACTCAGCCTCTGTGCTTGTGGTTTAGGGCATTAGAATGTGCCTGCCCACTTTGGCAAGAAATAGGAAGTGCATAAATGCTTTATCAACCTGAAGCTTTGTTGGATGTGCTCAGAGAACATTTCCTTTTAATGTATTTGGAAACTATAAATTTAACTCCTGCTGGGAGTGGAAGTAATTGCTTCACACAAGAAAACAGCTAGCTCTTTAAAAGGCTGAACTCCTTTCACAAATATGTGCTTTTTAATGACTGGGAAATTCCTGGTACAGAAAAAAATGTCCTTTTGTACAAATGAGGTCATTCTGGTCTTAAGTGGCCCTGTGCACTCTAGTTCCTGCTTTCTGTTCCATGTTTTGTGACCAGAGGTTATTGGAAGGATCATCCCTCTGTGGATATTCACTGCTTTTTTGAACTTGTTGCCAAGGGGAAAGTGAGCTTAGGAACTGCCAAGCCAGTGCCAGAGGCCCAGATCCAAGGGCTACTGAGCTAGTGACTGATAGTGATTGGGTTTAGATTGGTCATGGATTGGGTTGTTAAAGCATGCTTTCTGTGTGTGCTAGGATCCCTGTGTCTGATTCATTCTCCTCAGATTTCTCAGCCATTCCACTGCTTCTTGGTTCAGGAATGATTTTTCCTTCCTAGATGCATATCATTTACTCTGCTTTGAGTCTGCTTGGAGGAGTAGAAACATCTGTGCCAGTCTGAGGCCTGGTGTAAATGAAAAGCAGCTGCTGAAAGAAGTTGCTCTGTACCTCTCCTTTGAACGCTTGCAAGCTGATTCCTCCTGAAGTTAATTTGTGAATTGGCTTGGCTAACGTGCAGTAGGTATCTGAGGCCTTAGATTTGTGTGGTGAAAGGGTTCTCCTACATGGTAATGTAGAGTAGATCTCAGTGGATGCCCTTGATTCAATTTAAGCTCACTTTCCTCTAACTTTAAGCACTGCCTACCAAGGAGGATGTTAAAGATTCGAAGAGTGTTAGGTAGGGAGAGTGTTACATCTGTCTTGAATGTTTTTATAAAGAGGACATGGAGTGGGTGCAAGTGAGATTTGACATAGACCTCTGGGTCTCTTTTTTTTTTGAGGCAGTCTCACTCAGTCACCCAGAACGGAGTGCAGTGGGGTGATCTCGGCTCCCTGCAACCTCTGCCTGCTGGGTTCAAGCAATTCTCATGCCTCAGCCTCCCAGGCAGCTGGGACTACAGGCATGTGCCACCACGCTGGACTAACTTTTAGTATTTTTAGTAGAGACAGGGTTTCACCAATTTGGCCAGGATGGTCTTGAACTCCTGACCTCAAGTGATCCACGTGCTCAGCCTCCCAAAGTGCTGGGATTACAGGTGTGAGCCAGAGCGCCCGGCTCCTGGGGTCTCCTTTAGACGATATATGTTTAAGACAGCCACTTTGAAGGATTAGCGATTAGAAATTGATATTTATTAACTGCTTCTTAGGTACCAGCACTATGCTAGACTTTTTCTGCAGATTACCTTTTTAGAGGTAGAAGGCTTGTGTAGTTAATTAGCAGCAGCCCATGAGATTCCCAAGCTACCAGGCTACCTCGCATCTTGAAGGGTTTGTGTTACATTCGTGTTCCCCTAGAATTCATCCTTGGCTGTAATTGATCAATGTTTTGATGAGGCCTTGAGTGCTTGCTTTCTGCTTAATTGACTACAGGTTTTTGTTGTTTAAAACATTCTCTCTCTTGCTACTGAAAACTTGGTTCTTCTCATAACTTCCTAATAAAATCTAGGTTCTAGGATCTCGGTGTCCCATTCGTGACTCTCTAATTCTGAAACTCCAAGTTCAGTCTCTGTTGCTTAATTTCTTGATCTGGAATTTAAAACCTCTGTCTTGAGGCATTGTGGAGAAGAGATTATGAAATGTGGTCATGAGCTGCTTAGATATTTGTTGCAGACCCCATTTTTTGCCTGAAACACTTGTGGCCCATCCAGTATGCTCCAGAAAGAACCTTTGCTTGAATTCTTTTGGGTCATGGAGGAAGTCAGGCTGACTGCTGTGACAGTCATGGCTGTGGGCCCTGGATCATTGGCTTCCCATCCTACTCTGCCTTTTTATTAGTCTCCTCAAAGAACAGGGGAAAAAAAAGATCATTTAAGTTTAAAAATATCCCTTATTATAAAGTTGACTATTTTAACTCAATTTATCACTGCTTGCTAGACCATCCTTGAAAATCTTGTTAAAATGTAGGAGAAAATATGTAGACGTGCCATTTCATTTAAGTTGGTCATTACCTCATGCAGATTACATATGCTGGAAAGGAAAAACTGTGACTCATGTTTCTGCAGGGCACCCTCCCCACTACCCCCAAGGCCTGGGTTTATTGTAGGCAGCCAATGAGTATTTTATTGAACTTAATAGCTGGCACAAAAGATTTGAAGAAAACATTCCTAGGAAATACTATCATAATTGAAATTGGGAAGTTCTGTGTAATTGCTGAGTGCCTCATTAGTTTCTGTGAGGCAAATACAAGGCATGATGCAAAATGGGTTAATATTGTAGAAGGAAAACTCTCAAGAGGTAAATCAGAAGCTTCACCTATCTGCCTACGATGCTCACAATGGGAATGGTACTGATTTGCTGATAATATGTTTTTATTATTATTATTATTCTGTAGCCTCAGACGATACAGCAAACTCTCAAGAGGACACTGCAGTATTATGAACATCAAGTTATTGGGTAAGTAAAAATTGATTTTGGTTATTATTGGGGGAAAATTAAAGGTAATTACTCAAACGTAGCTGTTGAGTATGTGATTTTCTGCTACCCAGGTCAACCTTATTTTACAGTGGCTGTGTTCTCACAGTGTTGGGGGTGAAGGCTTATTGTGGGGGGGATCCCTTGGTGCACTCCAAAAGTGATTTCTTTTGGCTTATTTGTGCTTAATTCTTTTAAATGAAATTACTTTCTGGTATTGCTTTTCCTTTTTTTTTTTTTTTTCTTGGTTTTCTCATGTTTTTACTGTCTTATTCTGATGTTGACTCGTATAATTTTGCCTTACTCATGTGGTAAGGTTTATTGGTACCAACCCAGATGCTTTGAATGGGATTTTAGAATCCTCAAGTAGAGTTTGATAAAAATCACTACAGCCTTAACACAGTTCAGTGAGAGGAATTAGTTTACTTACAGTCACGTGCTACGTATTTTTCTTTATTATCGCCTATTTCTTGAGGTGGTTGTGGTGTGGTGTAAAGTAAGAAGACTTGAGGTCCAAAGACAAGGAAATCAAGGCCTCACTAGCACATAGATCTTTTACTAAGTAACTTTATCTCTTTTGTAAAATGTGATGATAATAATAACTAAATCAAGGATTAGATGTAATGATTAAATGAGGTAATTTCAATGAAACCATTTTGTAAACAGAGAGCTCCAAATGAGTATGAGGTACACCTCTCATTGGCTATGGCAGAAAGCAACTGGCAAATATGAAAGCCTGAATTTACTTACTCATGCAATCTAGCTTTTAGATTCAATTTATTGACATTAGAGACAATGTATATTTTTAATTTACCTTGTTAGTATTTTTTATATGGTACAGTGATTTATCTTTGTAAGATTTTAAAAACTTTTGAGAAGTCAGTATTCAAACTGGTACTTCTTGAACTGTTCTCAGGATCATTCAACATTTATGGCTAATAGTCATTGCCATAGGGATCAAGAACATAATTTTGGCTATTAGGGTATAGTGTGATTTTTTTTTCACAGAACAGAAGGGAAGATTTCTTAATGGAAAAATAATCTTGGTACCTAGTACAACGCCATATACTTTAAGTGCTTGATGATTATGTTAATTGTCATTTCAAAAGGAATTGCTTTGAAACTTTGTCATACTAATCCTCAAGAGTGTAGTTCTAGGAAAAACATATTATTTAACTCATGAGATGGCTTTTAGTCTGAGGCCATTAGTGATTTTAAATCATTTATCCTAATGGAGATAAAGAATGTCAAATTAATCTTTCTCCACACATCCTAGAATAAAACTTAATCACTGTCATTGAATTGGCTGCTTTCAAAGTATGGTGTTTGGATTAAATTAATATACTTCAAGTAGTTCCTTGTATGTGGCGAGCACTACATACTTGTTTGCTCTTATGTTTATTATTATTAATATTTTTATGACAATATCCATCAAAGTCTAATCATTTTCTGGGATTATGAATGTTCTTTCTCTTTTGAAATAAAATAACTGATGAAATATTCTCATTTGTGAACTAAAGTATGTAAAGTATGCCTTCAAGGCAAATTGGAGTGGGGCTCTTATAATGTAATCCAAATAGATAACTAAACTATATTGCTATAATCAGAAATTTTTTTTCACCTTTGATAGAATGGAGGGAGTTCTCTTTTATCCAGCTAGCTGCCTCAGCCCTCCCCTTCTGCCTATGTAGACATGGCCTGTGGTGATTCTTTGTCCATTGCATGAATGGTCTTTTCCTAGTTCTGTTTATTGCATACACAGTATAAAGAAAACGGAAAGTTTGACACCAGTATAAAGAGGGATCTTGATGTCTGGCATGATTCAAATAGGCCTATTAGCATATTTTTGCTTGGGTTTTGGCTGATTTCTCAGACTTGAAGTACCTTTGCTCACTGACTTTATTTGCATTCACGCTGATGAAGCCAAAGGAGTACTGTTGACAGCAATTTTGCCACATTTGCCTTTCTTGACTATATTCCCCTTTCTTGCCTTTTTTCTCATTGATGACTTTCCTGTCCAACTTCCTCTTTTGCCTTTTATTCTCCATCTTTCTACTTTTTATTTCTCTTTTCACAATCAAAAAAGCAGAGCAGCTAATATCACTCACCCTTGAACTAAAAAGTATTTGCAACTGTGTGTTGTTCCTCTTAAGAAAATACAATTTAAGTCTTCTTATCTCTAATTGTGAAAAAGAATGTGTTTCTTACAGTTAAAGGGATTTCGGAATCCCTGAATTGAGAATTGAGACTAAGTGCCGACAAGCATAATTTTAGTTATTTTTCAGCAGGCGAGGTGGGAAGGAGATGCTTTTCCTAATCTCTGAAATGGGGCTTGCTTAAAGGTGTCTTGAAATAACTCAGCATTTAAATACTTTGTGTTGAGGTGTTGAAGCAAAACAGGTAACAGAGTATGAGCTAGCCCTTCTCTTTTTAATTTCTTAATTATCCTTCAATCACTAACCTTCCTTTCCTTTCCTTGAAAACTCTGCCCTTAATCTGTTTTATTTATCAGAGCTCTAGGATTGTACAGTTCTGCTCCTTGGATTCTTATACTGGTTGCCCATAGAAACTCTCTGAGGCTTTTTTTGTCTGCCAAGACTGAGACTTGAACGCAGGGAGCAGCTGTTCCGAAGGGTCACAGACAGAAGGACTGGGAGGGAGTAGCCGATGGGGCTTCCTGTTAGGGAGTAAGATAGCCTCTCTGTACCTCATCCACTTTATCTTTAAACATTATTCTACTCCTTAATTTATCCATTCACTTGTTCATTTATTTATTCATAGAGATCATTCAAATTGGGGAAATGAGTGCTAAAATAATTTATTCATGCAATGTGATAAATCTTCTTCTCTTCATCTCCACTATCGTCATCATCTCTCACCAAGACATTCTGGTCTGATTTTCTGGTTTCTACTTTTGTCCGCCAATATGTATTTTCACCACAGCAAAATGATAAAAAATTAGATGATGCCACCTTCTTACATGAAACCAATGGTTCTCAAATGTTAATGTGCATCAGAATCACCTGCCAGCCTTGTTAAAACACATATTACTGGGCCTTGCTCCCAGAGATTCTGATTCCGTAGGTTCAGATGGGGCTCAAGAAACTGGCATTTTTGACAAATTCCCAGGTAATGCTGATGCTGCTTGTCCATGCATCGCACTTTGAACCCCCTGCTTTAAACTATATAATGGCTTATTATGGTAGAATAAAGTCTAAATTCTTTCTGTGATCTGGCCTCTGCCTCCCTCTCTAATTTCATCCCTTTCCATTTCCGTTTTTTTCACTCAATTTCAACCTTCTGTTGGTTTCTCAACTTGCCAACCTTAGCTTCAGGGTCTTTGTATGTATCGTTTCATTTTTATGTAATGCTCTTTCCCCAGATGTTTGCATGACTTATTCTTTATATACATATAGATCTCTGTTAAAATGTCTTCTCTTCAGGAAAGCCTGCCCTGATCACTCCATCTAAAGCATCTCTCCATCACCTACCTCAGACTCCAATCGTGTCAGGTTGACTTTGTGGAAAATTTTGATTGCTATATAAACTCTACATATTCATGCTCACTTGGAGAGCTTCTTGTTCCCACAGCACTGTCTTTCCTTCACCTAGAATGAGTAAGGGGGTATTGAGTGTGCATCTTTATGTTAGTTGCTCTTTAACTCAAACTTCTAGGGAATGGACTTTCTGGGTATTGTGGGGTGGAAAGATTAGTGAGAAGCAGAAGGGGTCAGTAGGAGACAGGCAGGATTCAATTTAGAAATTAAAAGAAACTGAGGATGGAGGAATGTCTGTTTATATTAGTACTTTTTTTCTTACATAATTCTTGCCATTATCTTGTGCCGTTTCTTCTCTTTGTATGTTGTGGAAAGATTGTGTTTTGTAAGTAGACATATGAGAATTACTAGACATAAAGTCAAGTTTTGCTATTGAATAATCTTGGGAAGATTACTTAAAATCCCTGAGCCTCAGTTTTCTCATTTTAAAAATGGGAATAATAACAGTGTTGTGGTGAAGTTTAAATGAAATCTTAATGATAATAATGTATGAAGTCACATAATTACATAAAGTAGTTAGCATAGTACCTGGTACATAAAGATAATCAATAAATGAATTGAATTATTATTACTACTATTAGTAAATGACTCTTTTGCAATTCAACTTTTGTTGATTATCTTCAGTTTATCCTCCTGCTGCAATCTTTTCCTGTCTTCGTTGGGACTTTAAAAGTTTAGAATCTGTTGTTTAGCATCCGGAGCTGAAGATGCGCAGTTTGTGTTCTAGCAACAGTTTTCTTCTTAAAGAGAACACTTTTTTGTTGATTTTTTTTCTTTTTGTGACTGAAATTTCTGACTCTAGAGGGCTTGACTCAATTGCTGTCACTCATATTTGTACTACATGACTCCTACTGGTCTATGGCTCACAAAAATTGATTGCCATGGCAGTGTAGATGAAGCACAGATTTCTTCAGTAAACTGCTATGGGAGATGTGATAATCTTTCTGAGATACAGTGTTCACTCACTATATATTTTAAACAATAAAGAATAAAGAAATGTGTATTCAGAACCATATCACTAATTTTATTCTTTTTTTTTTTTTTTTGGCCAGAATAAGCATTGTTGTGTTAATATCATGGGTAGGACTATTGCCAAACTCATATTAGTCTGGGGTAGCAATTCTTATAGTCATCTAAAATTAAATTGGTATTGCTCCAATTATTAATGTGAGCCCTATGTTTGTTTTATACAGCCAACCTTCTGTTCTCTTTTTCTTTTGACAATTGAGGAGAAATTAAGCCAGAATAATTTCAGTAGAACACTAGAAGTGAAATTAAGAGTGGGTGAATTCTGATTATTCTGGGAAACAAACTTCAAGGATATTGCTTAAGCTATCATGATCAGATTTTGTGGCTTAAATTATTTTATCTAAAAATGATCTAGCTTCTTTTTCATATATTTACATAGAAAACCTATATCTTTTTGAACATAAACAAATTAGACAAAAGCTAATATCTATTGGTTGCTTACTGTGTTGGAGGGGATATGCTGAGCATGTTCCATCTTTTATTTAATCCTAAACATATTGCATAAGAGTACTGTATTAAGCACATTTTACAGTTGAGGAAATTGAGGCTGTGAGAAAGAAATACTTTTTTAAGGTCATTCTGATAAAAATGGTGGAGGTTGAATTAAAAATAACCCTGTGGTTGCCTGTGTTTAACATCTGTGCTCCCTGTTCCACCTCTTGAGTGACTCCTGCATTCTGGAAACTGTGGTAGGCATTCTGCCTAACTGGTTTATTAGAGTCTGATCTCAATGAGGTATACAAACATGAAACCATTTTATTTTTCCCTCCACTCACATCAAGCATGCTAGGATACATCCCCTTCGATATTAGCTTAGACAGATTGCTCTGTTTTCTAAGTACTTCCAAGAATTATGAAGTTCACTCCAGGCCAACTTAAATCTTTACTCTCTCATCCAATCTGACTCTAATGTTCCTTTCCCTGTCTGGGTCAGGCCTTGGCCTAAGAGACTTGGAATGCAGGACAGAGTGTCTGATGTGGGTTTTCACTCCTCTTCTCCAGGCCATTCCTTTCTGGGTCCCTTTCTCTTCTGATGTATTGGTTGAAGCATGAATGAAATGGAAAATGGCAGAAGCCTTTTTAAATTCGCTGGGGTTGTAGCAGTCCTCTCTTGGCTGTGATGCGCTCGCTAGGGTGCATATATGAGTTCTGCCCTGACTGCTTTGGATGCCACAGCTCCCGCACCTAAGGACTTCACTCTCTTGGTCTTGCTAGTGGGAGCCCTGTCCCTGGCTGGTAGCCTCTAGATTGGAAGAGCACCATGACAACCAGACAACTCAAGCTTGCCTCTCTCTTCCCTAACCCATGAGAAACTCACATATTTGCCCTGCCAAATGGTGGGCCTTTAGGTTGCTCCCAATTTTTCTCAATTTCTTTTCCTTGTTAATGACTCTCTCCTGAGTCTTCTTCCTTTTGTCAGTCAGACATGGGAGTATGATCAGGAAATCCACTGCCTCTGCAGACGTTCACTGGGGAATGAGATGGGAGATCCCCAATCTCTACCAGCTATGGACCCCCCTCACCAACTGGATGTCTGCAGGGAACACTCCCCTTCTCTCCTTTTCTAGGAGGGAAGGGCGGAAGCACAATAGCACTCTCTTCCTAGGCCAACTCCTGACTCTTCTGAAGATTTTATTTTGAAGTCTTTCTATTCCTTTGCTTCTGTAAGCTGGTGGTAGGGTGACAGGGGCAGTGGCTATTTAGTCTCCTCTTAAGTCCTGAAGAAGAGCTCTGGTCTTCTTGGCTACCCTTTTAGAATGTGGGAGGATTTGGCCTTTAATGTCCTCAGCTTATTTTATCTTAGCTCTCATTCAGAGGCAACTCAAAAAGTCCCAGTCAATATCCAGTTACATGGACATTGTGTTATTTAGTCCTCACAAGAACTCTAGGAGGTACTTCCATTTTATGGGAGAGGAAAGTTAGACTAACAGAGATTAGGTTACTTGCTCAAGATCTCACAGATAGAAAATGGTAAGACCATGACTCAAATTCTGCCAGGTGTATGCTGCTATCTTTTTTTTTTTTTTTTTTTTTTGAGGCAGAGTCTTGCTCTGTCACCCAGGCTGGAGTGCAATGGCGTGATCTCAGCTCACTGCAAGCTCCACCTCCCAGGTTCACGCCATTCTCCTGCCTCAGCCTCCTGAGTACCTGGGACTACAGGTGCCTGCCACCACGCTCGGCTAATTTTTTGTATTTTTAGTAGAGACAGAGTTTCACCGTGTTAGCCAGGATGGTCTGTGGTCTCAATCTCCTGACCTCGTGATCAGCCCTCCTTAGCCTCCCAAAATGCTGGGTTTACAGGTGTGAGCCACCGTGCCTGGCATATACTGCTATCTTCTTGACTGTGATAAAGGTTATGGTGTGTTGACTTTCAACACTGTTGAATGCCAGGACACCAAATTAACATTGTTAACTTTTCCTATTCTAGGCAGCTTCCTTATAGAAGCAGATCACTAGCCTTGATGACGTGCTTACAGGGTGATACATTAGCTATGCAAAGCTGATATATTTTTCGTTCTCCTCAATTTTTTTCACACATAGCTTTCTTATTAACAGTTGCCTTCAGTTCCAGGTCTACATTGCAAATGCTGTTGTGAATGGTGGGTTACGCCAGAATTATGTCTCAAAGCTTCACTTATTTTAAAATGTGATTATGATGAAAGCATAGACTGCGTGTGCTTGTGTGTATGTATATGAGTTGCATTCGCAGATGCTTTCAAAAATTTCTCCTTATGCTAATTTTGTTTTCTTCTTAGTTACAGGGATGCAGAAAAGAATTTCCACAATATCTCTAACAGATGCTCCTATGCAGAACACTCCAACAAAGAAGAAATCGAAGATGTCTCAGGAATTCTTCAGTGTACTGCTAATATACTCGGTATATTAACTATATATTTATATGATTGAGAGAGAATGAAAGAGAGGGAATGTCGAGGTGGAAATGTTTCATGTTCTACCAAAGAGAGATTTGGAGAATATGGCAAGTTGAGACCCAGACCTTGTGAAGTGATGGGTGTTAACTCTCCTGAAGATGTTTGAGTGGAAATTGCTTGCATGCCACTTACTTAGAGATGGAAAAACATCAAAACAAAAATACTTAAATTCCAGGGAAACAATTTCAAATATTCACATGTGAATAGTATTAGCCTTGTATAATTCATATTTCTTTGGCCCTTATTCTCAGCTGAAGTTGTAGGATCTTTTTTTTACTCTCAGTCATACTCTGTTATTTCTGGGAGGTCCTGGTTGGGGCAGAAGGGTGGCCCACAGGTACTCTTAACACTCTACAATCCAGCGTTCCTTTCTGTGGCCTTGTCAGTGAAGCAGGTCATCTGCTGAGGTGTCTTTGCCCTACTTGGGGCTGGGGGAGTGTCCATCTTAAAGGTATTTGGACTTATAGCAGAGGGGCTGTTTTTGGATGCTCCAATATGGCTAAAAGGTAGTGTGGTAGATTGCATCCAATCATACAGCCTTAAGCTACCATAACTGAGCTGTTCTACCATGCTACCTGAAGTTCTTGGTATGTGAGAGCTACCTTGTATTCCATGCAAAGTGTTCTAAAAGAAATATATATTTTTTCCCGATGTCTTACAGATGTTTCTAGTGAGAAATTTCTCTTTAAGTTCTTTTTAGAATCCTTTCTTCTTTATGACCCAGATAGGAATCCATGGGGTGCTGGAGGGTGCTAGTGGGGAATAACAAATCTTAGTGAGCGACTCCACACAGAATGCAGAATCTCTTTTGGGGTCAGGTGATGGAGAATAGGGCGAACTAGTTTGCATGTTCTTTCTTTTCCTTTAAAGTACTTTTCCCTGGAGACATCTGAGTTTCTCCTACAAACAATTTCCAGGTCACCCCAACCCCAGAGTCTATCAGATTTTTCTAAACATGCCTGACTTCTAGAGGTAGACTTCTTTTACATTCAAGCTGGGAATCCAGCCGCCAGTTGGCTACATTTTCATCCTAGGTAACTTTTGTAAACACAAAATCGAATAATAAGAAAATGTATCCTTTTTTGTGAGGGGAGGCATATAGATGTTAGTGGTTTGTCTAACATCTATAACACTATGCAGGACGGTGATGGGTAGTGAAAAGGAGGCCAAAGATTCATCATTTTAATCTTAGAACAACTGCAGGGATGTCACAATACCCAAGTAAATCTTATGATTGGAGAAAATCAGAGGTGAGATTAAAAGAGACGTTACCCGAGAGTTTAAAGTTTTCTGATTTTATATTTTCAAGGACTTCCCTTTCAGTAACATCTATTTCTCTTAATGCATTGTGATTTCAAGGGGTGGGGTGATGATGCCACACTAAAAGGGATGTATCAGAATCTCAGTGAAGGGATGTTTAGTATTTTGAGACATTGCTTCTTAACCAGTTCCTAAGCATTTTCCTGACCCTTACATCTTTCTTCTTTATGCTCCCTAGTTTTAGAATCACTGAGTTAGAGGGAATAGGAGGTGTTCAAAGATAATGATTACACTGGGGTGCTAAAGGTAGTTGGACTGTGGCTTGTAAATGAGTGTGCAGAATTTTCACAGAAAGAAACCCTGGGTCAAACAATTTGAAATGGTGACCACCAGGGGACACTGTTGGCCCAGCACAGTTTAGTTGCCCTTCGAAGGTTGCCCTGAGATGCTGAATAAGTCGTGAGTGAGAAGTCAGCAGGCAATGTGCTGCCTGATGACATTAGGGTAAGTGAAGTGTTTGTAACTTAGAAGGTGATCGTGTAACAGGGTTTAGATTTCCATGAATGCTAACTTTTTTTTTTTTTTTTTTTTTTTAACCAAAGAGATACTAGGTCTGATTATTTTCTTCCTCTAAGTAATGATAGGTTGTTCTCAAGATTTAAAGCACAATCTTATAAAGTTTAAATTTCTGGAGATTTACATTTAATGCCTGCCACCTGCCAACCAGATGCTGGCACAGATGATTATGTGCCTAAGAGGTAGCTGTTCCCTTTGAATAATGTATTTTAAGAATCTTGATACATTGATGCTCTGAGGACAGCTTTAGTGGTCATATTCAGTAAAAGTTTTGTTTTTAACAAGTCACGGAGGTATGATTAATCTTGGCTTGCTTAGATTTTATCTTTTTTTAAAGTTGTGTTTAAATTCTCTTGTGTAATCACATATGAGAATGAAAGAATTGGTTAGCTTACTGGACAGAAAAGCACCACTTAAAAAAATTATTTTTCAGGAGGGTGCTGGGGGGTGGCACAGGAAAATAGCATTTTAACTAAGTTAAGAACAATTTTGATGCCTGGGAAACTTTCTTTTGGATGGCAGAAGGCAATGTTCCAACTCCATGGTTTATATTTATCACCTTTGGGGAGTGTGATTAGAATATTGGTGGTTTATTCACTTATTTGTATGTTATTTATACTTCATCATCAAAAAAGACTTGAAGTCATAGATCACAAAATATGATCATAGTAGCAATTTTTCTTCTTCCAAAATGATCATTTCTACCTACTTAGTATAAACAACTCCTCTAGAAAGTATGGTCATTTACTGGCTCTTCAGGTTGAAGTTTGCATTTAGAGGGTGACATGGAATAAAAACGAGGACCTGAAGAGAGGAAGAAAGTGAGTTGGAGAAGACCTGTTATGCCTCTGTTACGCATTTGTTCTCACCTCTTCCATGGGACTCCCTGGGAGCGCATGTTGTGCCCTACAGGGTGGTTCATGTCTCTGGAGTAACGGGAAAGAACTGCTTTCAGATATCAAAATGTTTGCTCTCTGTTTCCCTTTTGTTGGCTTAGAAACTGGTTGTTTCTATTTTCTGTCTCATCATTTACAAATTATGGATATTGATTATGGTCTGTTTCTTGCCATCTCTTCACCACATTTTGGTGCTTTGGTAATTGCTGTGATAATGGAGGCTGGGCCCTTGAAACTCTGGCCATGCAAAGAAACATAGTAGACAATGCCCTCCCTGCTGGAGGACTTCAGATTTAAATTTATTGCTTTATTTGGTACATAATATCTTTTGCATACCAAAATGATCTAATTTTAGTTGTCCAAAAAATAGAAAATCTTTTCTAGCCCTAATCTGCAAAGCCTATTTTTAGCTCAAATTAAATAGTAGAAATGTGTTTATGTTCTGTGAGGCGACATTAGTATCTTCTTGGAAATTGTAATGGTTGAATGAAGCATGTATTAAAGCATGTGTACCATGTTTTCTGCTGAAATGTTGCTACTTGTTCCTATGTGTTACATAGTGTTATAGGCAGGGAGACAGAGTGAGTAGGAGAGTTAAGGGAGAAGGATGATAAATTGCATAGTCTCCTTTGTCATAATAAGTTAAATATAAATGAGGTTATGACTATTGCAGTTTTAACAAGTTCTAATACTATTAAGGGTGTTGTGGGTGTTTCAGTTGTTGTAGAGCTTTAAGAGCTACACGATGAGGGAGATGGGGTGTAGGAAAAAGACTTCCCACAGTAGTTTAGAGAACAAATAGAAATGAGAGCTCTAGGTTAATTCATTTACTGAAGAGTTACAGCATATAAAGATTTGCAGGTTTAGGAAGCATCAGTTATTTGCTAAGTATTGCTCAAAGCACAGTTTTATACTGCCCTTGCGAAGAGCATTTCCTCTCCAAATAGGAAGTGCATAGTTCTGAAAAGTATTTATTAATGTTTTCTTTGTTTTGAAGGTCTCTCTCTGTGAGAGTGTTGCTTTATCTTCTCTAGAAACCTAACACATTTAAGTCAGAATGGGAGCAATGTTATCATGGGATTATTTTGTTGGGAGAGGGCTGGTAAGGAGGATAGAGGAAATGACCGTTGGGACTTATTCCGCACAATGTTTTCTTAGTGTCGGGGATCCTGAAATACTGTGAAATCATTTATAAGATGCCACCGATTCCATAATCTTTAGCTGGTATGGAACTCTCTGTTTTTTTATAAGTAATAATTTTTTGCTTATATGTCAACTTATGTATACTTTTTTGTTTCACTGTGATTTTGAATGTGCATTTAGGAGCCTTTTAATTGGTCATAAAATTGTGAAGAATTAGCTTAAGGTTAGGGTTACGACTAACTTGGGGATTTTCTGGGAATAACTCTAAATAATATAATTGTTTAGCAGATTAGAATATGTTCAACATACTTATTATCTTGGAGAACTAGCTAGTGTAGTAACAACTTACTATATTTATTGGTGAATTAAGATTAGTAGCAATAAGTAACTTCTGCCAATATAGTTCTTGTTACTATAACTTGGTAACTGATCAATTTCCTCTTTCATTAAAGTAAATATTTTCCGTATTTTACTAAAACGAATTGGAATTAAGGTGGTTGGAGGGGAAGTAACTTAATAATGTTACTATAATGTAGTGACTTAGAGCGAGACTAGAGCCAGACTACTTGGGTTGAAAATTCATCTCAGCTGCTTACTACCTGTACGCATTGGAGTGATTGACTTCATCTTTCCTTACCTCATATTTCTCATTTGGAAAATGGAGATAATATAATTGCACACTTCCTAGAGTTGCTAAGACGATTAAATGAGTTAATTTATATTAAGTACATACTTAGAACAGCATGGTATATAACAAACAAATGGAATGTAAATGTTTGCTTTTATTATTATTGAGTATTCCCCAAATAATGTTTGCATCAGACGCATGAGGTTTGCTTACTTGTTTAGGTGAGGAAAAACATACTTTGCAAGGTTAACTAACTTGTTGATGTCTTTGGTCAGAGTTAACAAACCACAGAGGCAGAATTTAAATTCATTTCAGTCTGATTCCAAACCTCATGTTCTTCTCACTACTTTGTGCTGCCTTCCAGAGTTGTTGACTGTGTCATCACTCCTCTAATGCTAATTACACACCATCTTTCCGGTTCTCTGAATTCTTAGACTCGTCA